TTGAGGGTGTGCAGGTCTGAGGAACTCACGGTCCAAGGCAGAAGCCAGCTTGCCCACTATTCATGCGATTCTCCCCCTTTAATCCCCTTCATCACTTCCATTTCCCTGCTCTCTTTTCCTTTGGGTTCCTTAGTGCTTCAACAAAGCCATAAGGTGAATTCTCAGCAAGCTAAGCATCAGCAATAATGAGGGGAGAAGGAGAAGGGCAGCCAGTGCACAGAGTGGTATTGCAGTCCAGATGACGTTACCAAAAAAATAGGGAGGGGGACGGGTGTGCTGGATATCCAGCCCAGGTGGCCCCCTTCCTGCAGGTTGAGGAAGGAATCTGCCTTGCATGAGATCTTGGAGCCAGGAGATGGCTAGGCATCAGGGATGGCCCACTACCTGAACCTGTGAGAACCAGTGAGAGCCCCAGCTTTCTCATTGGCCACAAAGGGGGCTCCAAATTGGGAAAACAGAGAAAGTAGAATTAGATTGGAATTGGATCTGTTGGGGTGACAAGCATAGTTTTCTGTAGAGATAGGTAACTGCAAAAACAAATAGAGATACATGTAGAGGTGTGTGTGTGTGTGTGTGTAGGACTCTGTCCACTGAGAAGACCCAGGAGCTGTGACACCCCAATGACAAATCACCACACCCAGAATTTGATTTGCAAATACTGTTCCCCAAACAAAGGAACCAGGGCTCTTTGACAAAACAGCTGATTACAGATGTGGGCAAGGCAAATACAAGTCCAGAATATCTTGTCCTAGATATGGAAGGGAGTACTTAACAGATGACAGACACATGTCAGAGGATGCACAAGCCAGCTCACAGGGGCTGTCATGGGCCCCAACCAGGACAGCCTGAACATAGCACCTAAATAAACAGCAGCACTGGATCATGACCTGGAGTTTGCGGTCTGCACTGATGTGGATAAATCAGTGGAGATGCTGACCTCGTCTCAGAGCAGCTCCCTGCAGGTGCTGGTCAGCCCTGTCCTGGGCTGCTGTCGCACTGTTTCTCACTGCTGGTTTGAGTCCTCCCTGTACTACTCCCCATCTAGCTCAAATGGGAGACATAGCTGGAGCTCCTGGCTGCTGGCTGTAGCCTGGCCCAACCCTGGCTATTGGCAGCCCTTTGGGGAGTAAACCAGCAGATAGAAGATCTCTGTCTCTCCCTCTTAAAAAAAAAAAACCCTTAAAAAATCTTATATTTTGGGAAAATAAAATTAAAATGTGTCTCCCTACCAAAGCGATTGATTGCAGGGGCAGGTAGAGAAGAGCTTTACGGCATAAGTATGGAAGGCACTATTACTTTATTCAAGTAATGAACTAGTCCAAACCATGCATCATCTATAATGACTTGATGAGAAAAACTGGGTATGGCTCCTACAGTATTTGTGATGCACAGAAATCATGGTTGCATCTGTAAAAAACACTGGGTAAATCTGAGGAACCATAGATGCAGCCAACTCAAAGGCTCTTCCAATAGACTCCCCATTCCCCAGTCCTCAATAGATCAGTTCTCAACCTTTAAGCACCAGCATCCTATATGGGCACTGGTTCATGTCCCAGTTGCTCCACTTCCCATCCAGCTTCCTGCCTGTGGCCTGAGAAAGCAGCAGAGGACAGCCCAAAGCCTTGGGACCCTGCACCTGCATGGGAGACCTAGAGGAAGCTCCTGGCTTTATAATCAACTCAGCTCCAGCCATTGCAGCCATCTGGGGAGTAAACTAACAGATGGAAGATCTTTCTCTCTCTCTCTCTCCCTCCTTCTCTCTGGAAATCTGCCCTTTCAATAAAAATAAATGCATCTTTAAAAAAACACACACATCAGAGCCCAGCATGGTAGCCTAGCGGCTAAGGCTCCTGGTTTCAGATCAGTTCAACTCCAGCCGTTGCAGTCACTTGGGGAGTGAATCAGCGGACAGAAAATCTTCCTCTCTGTATATCTGACTTTCCAATAGAAATAAATAAATCTTAAAACACACACACACAGCAGCATCACTGGCAGCCAGGAAAAGCTGACAATTGTGCCTGGCTAATGGTGGCTCATGAGCTGGGATCATCACCTGCAATGTGCTGTCCTAAATGGGACCCTTGTGCTTCGAAGGACAAATGGCCAACCTTGAATGAGATCAGAGGATTTGAGGAGAGTGAAGATTGGGTTTAAATTCCTGCATTAATGAGACTTTTTGAGTCTCCAGGAAAATTCCTTGCCGAGAAAGAAATGCATACCGGGGTGTTGCGGGTGATTGAACATTGTATCAGCAAAGTATGCTCAGTTCTGGAAAAAAAATTAGATTCATATGGTACTTGTGACTTTTTTGTACATTTGAGATTTATGTGGCTTAACAGGGTGCTTTTTAAACTTCTGAACTTCTGTGCCAACATTTAAAAATCAACCAATGGATGCCCATAAGTCTTCAGTTTGAGGCTTCTCCTGAAGAACCTAGAAAGCTAGGAATGCTGAGCAGTGACTGGCCAGTTAGGAAGTCACAGTGTCCTTTGCCTGGGAGATGTGGTACCCCCATCCTCTGAAGTCTCTGCCACTCCTTAGGGTGTTCCATCCAGTCCAGAACCTCCAATTATGCTACTAGCTTGGCTGCTGGCACCAGCTCATCCTTTGTCACGGGCTGTGAGAAGATAAGAATCTACCCCTGATGAATAGCTGAGTGGGCCCGTGCATAAACAGGATCCTCCCTTGGGTGGCCAGCTGAGTGGGCCAATGGATAAACCTCCAGACACTCCATTCACCAAGAGAAACACCTCACGTTGGAACAGCAGGTGCATGTTCTATGGCGGGATGCTCTGGCAGCCACAGTTTCTGGATAGCTTGCCCAGAACAGAGCCAGTTGAGGAATGAGAATATCATCCAATGACACAAGGCCCCGTGTGTGGGCCATGTTTTCCCCGGGGACTTGAGGGAGGCACTGGCAAAGCGGGTGGGGTTCTGGCACTGGGTCGGGGTGCTGGGCAGGCCTGCAAGCCTCGGAGAAGCTGGTATTGTCAGATGCCTGAGGTGCCGAGGCTGGGTGGGGTGGGAATGAGCGTCTGGCCCCTATCAACGGGAGATCTGACTTGATGGGGCATGTTGTCATTTGTACGATGAGCAAGAGGTGATGGTGGCTTCATCTCCCCCAGCCCCTGTCTCTTCCTGATTCCCCACAGGGTCATGGCCTTATCTCTCACCTGTCCCCCTGATTCAATCGAACACATTTTAAAAAAAAGATTTAATTTTATTTTGTAAAGATTCTTCATTCTTTAGAAAGGCAGATTTTACAGAGAGAGAAGAGACAAAGATTTTCTATCCACTGGTTTATTCCCTCCAAATGACTGTAATGGCTGCAGCTTAGCAGATCCGAAGCCAGGAGCCAGGTGCTTCCTCGGGGTCTTCCCCTGCAGGTGCAGGGTCCCAAGGCTTTGGGCCATCTTCTGCCATTTTACTAAGCCCTAAGCAGGGAGCTGGGTGGGAAGTAGAGCAGCTGAGACACAAACTAGTGCCCATATGGGATCCCAGTGCTTGGAGGTGGAGGATTAGCCAGTTGATCCATAGCACCAGTTCCTTGAACACATTTTTTTTTAATTGCAAAGTCAGATATACAAAGAGAAAGAGAGACAGAGGAAGATCTTCACCCATTGATTCACTCCCCAGGTAGCCTCAACGGTCGGAGCTGAGTCAATTCAAAGCCAGGAGCCAGGAGTTTCTTCCAGATCTCCCATGCAGGTGCAGGCCCGCAAGGCTTTGGGCCATCCTCGACTGCTTTCTCAGGCCACAAGCAGGGAGCTGGGGGAAGAGGGGGATCCCAGTGCGAACAAGGTGAGTTCTACGCTGAGCCCGCTTAAACATTCTTATTGAGGCTCAGTCGATACTCTCCCAGCTCTAGTGATTTCTCATTGCCCTCAACGTGTAAGCTGAAGTCTCCCGTGCCCACTCTCACCCAGTGTCCTCAAGCTCTTGCCAGTCCCTTCCACAGGAAGGCCTCAACTCCTGTGACTCCACCCCTGGATCCCTCTAGCTCCTGGCATACACAGGGAGCTCTCTGCCACCCAAAGCTTTGGCCTGTCTCCCATTTCTTCAGGGCCAGCTCTTCGAGATGCACTGCTCTAACCTTGTGTCCTGCTTCTGCCGCAGCAGCCCTCCCAGGTCTTCACTTGAGTACTCACTGAGATCCAAAAACCGCTTTGTTCACCTCAGCTCAGCGAGAGAGCAGAGTTTTGCTAATGGTGTGTGGCACTTAATCCTCAATGCTTACCACCCAGCAGGGAGCACACAGGGAATATTTATCTTGGAAGGAAGGCGCAGTTGTCAGGATCCTGGCGCTGGGATTCTGGATAAGCCGAGCACTGAGTGTGAGGAACCCAAGTATCCCACTATTGACGGTAGACTGCACCCCCATTTTTTGGGAAACAGGCCTGCCCCATTGGGCACTGGCTCAGCTGGCACGGGACTTAGGCAGTCCACCTCCCGATTGTAATGCAGGTAAAGAAAAGGAAAACGCGAGGGACGTCCTACAGGTCGCCTAGGGATGTTGCAGGACAGACCTGTTTGGGAGCGTGTGGGGAACGTAGGAACGCTGGCAGGGTTGGGGCTGTGGGTGGATTGTGAAGTTGTGATGGGGTAGCTTTACGTTCTCAGCCAGCGAGGGTCCGGGCCAGAAGCGGCCGGCTCCCAAGCCGGGGGGCGGAGGGAGGTGCACCTGCGGCCAGTCCACCTGGGAGCGGCTCACCTGGCCGGTCCGGGGAGCACGGACGAGTCGGCGCGCTTCCGCGTCGCCCCGCCTCCCGGCCAATGGCGGCGCGGGGCCCCCGCAGCAGCGGGCGCGGATTGGGCCGAACAGCGCGGCGGCGGGCGCCGATTGGACGCCGATTGGGGGGGCGGGACGGCGCGCGGAGCGGCTTAGGCGCTCGGCCGGCGGGCGGCGCTGAGCGCTCGGCTAACGAGGGCTCGGCGCAGGCGGAAGTGGCGACGCTGGCGGCCCCGGAGCCCGCGGCGGGCGGCAGTGACGGCCCCGGAGCCGACGGGGACGGCGGCGGCCCGGGGGGCGGCGTGGACGCCCGTGGCGCCGGCTGGGGCATCACCGCGGGTCTCGATCCCGAAATGGCGCTGCTAGCCGAGCACCTGCTGAAGCCGCTGCCCGCGGACAAGCAGATCGAGACCGGGCCTTTCCTGGAGGCGGTGTCGCACCTGCCGCCCTTCTTCGGTGAGCCGAGGGGGAAGGGGGCTGTGGCAGCCCCTGGAGCTTCCTCTCCCCCGGACACGCCCCCATCACCCGGTCCCCTGGTCCTGTCCTCCAGTGCCCTGACCACATCGCTCTGTTCTCCGTCTCTCACCGCCTACCTGCCCCCTCGGCTTCCCCCTCCTCACCCACCCTGCACCTCCGGCCCCTCACTCCCTGGTGCTTCTCTCCGACACTCCTTACCCAGGCGTCTTCCCCAGCCCTTCCTCCCACGCCCCCTGCTTTCCAAACGACCCCCGCCCCTTGCAGCTAGATCCCCTCTGTTGTTGAAACTTCCCCTTGCTTCGACGTCTCTCTCCTCAGAATCCCCTCCCTACAGCCCCGACCAGTCAGCCCGAAAACAGTGTTCCGCACGATTAGGGCCGCGGTGGGGATCCGAGAGCTTCGTTGTGGCGGTGATGGCAGGACACGGGGAGCTCAGTGCGAATCCCTCCCAGTGGGGCCAGTGCTGCGGTGTGGCGGGTGGAGGGCGGTGATAGGCGCACCAAGGAAGGTTTCAGGGCCGGGAGCCCTGAATGGAAACCTGGAAATTGAAGCCAGTGCCTTCATCAGCCGCCCTTCACCCTCTGCCTTTAGGATCCCCTAAGCAAAGGGCCTGTGTCAGGCGGGCTCTCCCAGGGCCCCCGGCCTGCAGGTTCACTTGGTGGACTTGCAGAGGGGGCACAGGGCCCCTGGGGTAGAGTTCAGCTGGAACTCACAGATGGGCAGAAGCTCTCAGGAATGGGAGGGGAGGTAGAGGGATGGATGGTCTCTTTCCCCCTGTGGGTGAGCTGAATGTGCTGTGGACAGGGATTCCAACTCCGGTCTGAGTGCTTGTGGTTCTGTGAGGTAGGACTTCAGTGTCCTCATCTGTGAAATGGGCTTGCTGATCTCTCCTAGGCCAGCCATGAGGAGGTGGTGTATGGAGTTCTGAAGCCACAGGTGCTGAGTAGTTTGAGCTGTGCAGGGTGTGTGTGTGTGTGTGTGTGTGTGTGTGTCCCTGCACGCACACACGGGTGTTTGCCATTGAAGAAGCAAAGAGACCAAGAGAGACCTTCCATCTGCTGGTTCATTCCCTTTTCCCCCCCAGCCCCCAGCACTGGCACACAGCCAGGACGGCCAGGCCAAAGCCAGGAACCAGGAATTCAATCCAGGCCTCCTATGTGGCTGACAGGATCCTGAGTAACCTGAGCATGGTCGCTGCTGCCTCCCAGGGTCTCCAATAGCAGGCAGCTGGCGTCAGGAGCTGTCTCAGGGAATCCCAGCGAGACACCCGGGATGCTGTGAAGGAAGGATGTGGGCACCTTGACCTTGAGGCCCAGTGGCTGCCCAGCCGAGGATGACACATGTTGTAGGAATATAGATATTCCTATACGTACAGGCTGTTCTGGGTTCACTTTTGATTTCTTTCTAGAGTGAATGATTAATCGGTGGTAAAGTGTGAGGGCAGGTGCCCAGCTCATGTGGCTCTCAGACCTGGGCAGAGTAGAGTCCTGCCCTTTGATGGCCGATGCCATGTCAAAGCGCCCTGAATGCAGCCTGGCACACAGCAGATGTGCTCGGCCAGTGCTGCTGGATGAGATTTGCTTCTGCTTAGACACCCCAATCTGGAGATACTAACACGTCTCCAGGCAGCGGCTTCCGCGGCTATAGTGTGGAGAGACTCTTTTGAGTGTGCCGGTTAGTTTGCCTTTATGCGACTTGTTTGCTCCCTCCTGTGCTTCTCTGGGCATGTGTAAGTCAGAAAGCCCCACTGGCCCCCAGCCAGGGCTCGGAATACGCCCATGGCAATGGTGCCCACCCGAGGGGCAGCTTTGGCTCTTGGGAACCATGAGGCAGTGCCTGGAGAAGGCCGGCTGGGTGGTGGTGGTGGTGGTTGTGGGGTGGGGGTGGGGATGCTACTGACACCTCCCAGGCAGAGAAGGGAAGTATTGGCCCCACCACAAAGAACAGTCCTGCCCCGAATATCAGCAGTGGTAAGGTAGAAAAATCCCCCCAGGGACAAGCTCTGGGGCCTTTTCTTCCTGCATGCTGCCTGAGACATGTTTGTTGCAAGCAGTGGTTGGAGGTAGAGAGAGGAATTGTAAAGGAAAAAGGGGAGGTGGCAGCTAGAGCAGCCATGGACTCTGGGGCATGTCCCCTCCTCCCTGACCCCATGCTCAAAGGCCCCTTGTCTTGGCTGCAGGCCCTGGGCTGTGGGTGTCACATCTGTGGACAGAGGCACCATTTATCCAAGTCTATGGGGTAAGCCCACAAAGCATTCAAGCCCCACAGGCCCCTGCCCATCAGGGCGCTGCCATCTGACTAAGAGGATGATTCTTAGCCCACTTGGGTGGCTTTGGGGGTTAGTGAGTTGAAAGGCATGGAGCGCCACTGCTGGTTCTAACCTCCTGCTGACACACCCTGGGGAACAGCAGGTACCAATGGCTCAGGTCGAGTCCTGTCACCCACGTGGGGGACATGGGTGGAGCTCCTGTCTCCTGGCTTTGGCTTGGCCCAGCCCCAGCTGTTGTGGGCATTTGCGGGGAGTGAACCAGCAAATAGCAGATTGCTCTTTCTCTTTCCCTCTACCTTTCAAATAAAATTAATTCAATAACTTGGCAGTGAACATAGAGAACGCGTTAGAAGTGAAGGCCCACGTTGAACCAGTCTATGTGCTCTTCTAGGAGGGAGTTACAGCTGTGAGTTTGAGGAGGTTTCCTGTAGCCAGTAGCTTTTGTCCAGTGTGGGCTGACATCCCCTGTTGGCCTGTGGGGAGGGGGGTTCGTCGCAAGCTTGGTGGCATTGGCATCCTGGGCTACCAGGCAGTCATGCACATTTCTTGGATGGAGCTGGTTTTGGCGGTGAACACTAGGCATCTGGAAGGCCCTACAGTGCCCCGTTGGCTCCTGAGCGGAGCTCTGTAACAGTGGCATTACCAGCAGTTAGACTGGACCCCTTCCTGTGTGTGTCTTGTGTGTGTCTGTGCTGTTATGTTTTGTGTATTGGTGGATGCTGCACAGCATCCAGGCTCCCTGTCGTGACAACTACAAACATCTCCAGGAAGGCAAAAGTCACCCAACAGTAAGAACCTAAGAACCTCTGCTCTGGACATAAATGTGGCGGAGTGCAAAAGCCTTTCTCCTTAGGGTGTTCTTCATTTCTAGGTGGGTGTTGCAGCCCAGCATGTTAATCTGGGAGACATCTGCCTCTAGTGCTTGGTTCACATCCCGGCCCCACCTGTTCTGATCCCACCTCTCAGTCAGTGTGCCTCCCAGGAGGCAGCAGATGAGGGGTGACCTGCCCTCATCTTGCTGCAACCCACCAAGTGCTTGGACCCTTGCCAATCCATGTGGGAGACCCAGATGGAGTTCCCAGCCTGTGGCATTGGCCTGGGCCAACCACAGCTGTTGTAGACATTTGGGGGAGTAGATCAGCTGGTGGAAAACTTTGTTTGCCCCATTCTTCCCACCCAGCAGTGTCACATGCTGAGTTGGCCGTGTCACTTATCGTTTTTCTGGGCTGCTTGGAATTCCAGGGTTGTAATACGGCCATCACTTGTTCAGCCAATCCCTTGCTGTTGGATGTTTGCTTTGTAACTTTTTTTTTGCTGGGGTAAACAGTGCTGTTGTGAACATGCTTGAGAATGTTTCTTTGCATGCTTCTTTGGTTATTTCTCATTTTTAGGTGGAGGCTTCTGACTCGTTGCAGCAGCCACATGGCTCAGCCCTTGGTCACGAGCAGGCCATGGCAGACTTGGCTCAGCCTGGCAAAGGCTGACTCTGCTCCAGTGGGTGTGGGCTGTGTGTATAGCATCCACTTCCTGGGCTTGCCCCGGCCACCTATCTCCAGCCCGCATCTCTCAAGGCCTACAGGTTGTGCCGGAGTCACTCAGAGGCCAGCCCTTGGTCCATCTTTTCTCTCCACTTTTACCCAATAATTGGATCTTGCCTGGCCAATGGGTTAGCGAGACTGACTTACCTGAGGGAAGCCTGTGCTCTCATTTTTGAGGTTAAGCCGCAGCTGCTGTAACATGTTAACAGTTGGAGGGCAGGGCAGGGCAGGGCAGGGGAGGTTGGGATGTCACACCATCTGGTCACTTCTGGCCTAGAAGCCTCATTGGCCCCTTCCTATCCCACCTGAGGGTCTGGGCCATGGCTTCTCTGAACAGCGAGAACCCCCCAACCAGGGGCCTGTCTCCTTCCCATGACTTCAGCACTGTCCCCACATCAGGCCTTCCCTCTCCTGGGTACCCATGCCCCTCCTATACCACTCCCACCTGTCCTTTTACCTGACTGGGTTCCACTTCTCTGGAGGGAGTCAGCTCTAGGCCACTTCATCCAGAAAGTCTTCCCTGACTCCCTTGGACTCCTGCGGGACCACACAGAGCCACAGCAGATCCTGCCACCCCAAGGACTCAAGCAGTGCCTTTGGTTCCACTCGCATTCTTCTGGGCTCTCACTGAAAATGCCTTGCCTTTCCCTGTCTGGAATATACAACCCCTTTCATGCCTTGTACTCCTGGCACGTTATGAATGTATCATAGGACCATTTTCCCTTTTGAGCCTAGAAACAACCTCAGCATCTTTCTTAACCCAGGTCAGTTAAAGTTGATACACTTGTGGCCCCCAGTTAGCCTCCTCATTTGGGTAGAAAACAGATGCGGACGAGCTGATGGTGATAATTTGCACATCAGCTCTTGAGATCCAAATTCTGTGGATGATTTTAGTCGGTTCATGCCTCTGAGTTTGGTTCCCTGGGTGTCCTCAGCACCTGCTCTTCCCGGGATCTGGGACCCAGGAGATGGTCCTAGAGAGGGCCCAGGAAGAGTGTGTTTTCTGCCCCTTGTGCAGCAGCCAAAGGAATGGGGACCAGAGAGGCTACAAGATTTGCCCCAAGTCACACAGCCCCTGCGTATCCCAGGGAAGCCAGACTAGGACTCAGGCTTCTTTCTACAGTTTGCAGTTCCATTGTTGTCACACCTGGCCCAGAGGGCAGTGGCCCCAC